ACCAACCCACCAACCCACCAACCCACCAACCCACCAACCCACCAACCCATGCACCAACCAGCCTGCGCAAGTATTGTTTCCAGCAGTCTAATATATCATCTTCTTATACTATACAGCGCTTGGCTTGAAGACACCGCACACGAAGTTGTGGCACGAGTGAATCGTCGAGCGTCCCTGGTGACTGGTTTGGATCAATACAACGCTGAATATCTACAGGTAAGAGCATCCCAACAGTTAATTGTTAGACCTTACGTGGTGCGGATGACCACGTAAAAGGGTTCCCATCTCTTCCCACTACCTCACCCTGCAACGGATCGGAGGGACGTAAAGAAACCTTGAAAGAGACTATCCTCAGTGTCTGGTCTTTACTAATGATTTCATAAAGGGTTGATTGTGAGATGGGTATGGGAATTTTGAGGAATTGGAAACTGGTGCAATGTACTTCGAAGGGGATCTTGTGTCCTATCGGTGCAACATCAGCCTGCTGGCAAAATCTAAAATAAAATGAAAACAAAAATTTACTATAGCAATTAAACTAGTTTGAACTGCCGAGTCGGTCCGTGATAAGCATCTACTGACAGCTGAGTTGCCTTTTTTCATAACAGGTTGCCAACTACGGAATGGGTGGACAATATGAAAAACACGTTGATTACGGAGTAAGTTAAAACTTCAAATCGATGTCAAATTCGTTTCTTTGGTGTCCTGATCTTTGAATATTTTTTTTAGGACCCAGATACTCCTCTTGCGGCAGATCCTAAAGGGAACCGCGTCGCAACTCTTCTTATATATGTAAGTCAAAATAAGTATAAAATGTCTTCCCAGGTGATTTTCTGTTTGAATGAGAGAGAGGAGGGAATGGTAGAAATGACATCATACCCTTTTGAAGCTTTGGTTCATTATGGGATAACTTTTTTAACCGAGTAAACCCCCCGCATTCCATTGGACATGCATGACAAAGAAACATTGCCTGACTGCAATTGGTTAAAACTAATTTACTAAATTTCCTTTTTACTTAGCTTTCGTTTCTTCTTTGTCATTTGTCTATTTGTGTTGAAATCTCCCGGCTAATTATTCCATCAGCCTTTCCTTCATCCAAACATAGTTAACATAAACTATGATCCAAAAGAATTTCAGTCCTCTTAGTCGGACTGACGCGTCTCCTTTTCATCTTGCATTACTACTCATGAATTTTTAATGCTTTCATCTCGTTCATTTTACTACAGTTAAACGATGTGGCTGTAGGCGGAGCCACTGCCTTCCTTGAAGCTGGCATAAGCATTTCACCAACAAAGGTATCCCAACACTGATTTACTTATTAACTTTACTAGATTAACTCCACCAAGGTTGTTCGAAATGTCAGTCGTCAGTCAGTCAGACGACAATTCAACAACAGTGACCCAATAAAGCTAACACAAGTATTTCTGGATCAACGCAACGCAACACACAACTTAGAAACCTCTTTATACTCCAACCACACAATCTAATCTCGCTTATTATTAAACATTTTTCCGTTACTAAGGGTGATGCGGTCTTTTGGTACAATTTAAAGAGATCTGGTGAAGGTGACGAGACGACTGTACATGCGGGATGCCCGGTACTGTGCGGGAATAAATGGGGTAAGATAAATATTGATAGGGTGTCTTTACTGTAGTTACGCACACTCCCTGGAGAGCTTATTAGTTCTTATTGCAGTCTTGATAAATACGCCTGAGGTTCAATAAAACGGAACGGAACGAACGAACGAACGAACGAACGAACGAGGAACAAACGATCAATCGATCGAAAGAAAGAAAGAACGCAAAGAAAGAATGGATAGAGGATTGATGTATAAATAAATGGATAGATTGATATGGACTCACGGACGGCGAATGCAAAAAAGGACTTAAAGAATGCTATGACAATTAAATTTAATATTTATCGGCCATGATCGCATTTCTTACACACTACCAACCGCGTAAGGACTGGTACTCAATATTGACGTTGTAAAACCTATTTCCATTTCAGTTGCCAACAAGTGGTTCAGAGAGGGAGGACGAAATATCTTCCATCGGCCATGTGCTCTTAACATTAACCTTTAATGCTAAAAAGATGACTAATGATTTCTGGCTGTCTACTTCAATTTATATCCTAGCTCATAGTTAGTTTTCATTGTTTTTACTACGTTTTTGAATGGTGTAGAATTTCTAATAAAAAACGGAAACATTTATAGTTTTGGCCTGAATTTGGAATTTCATTTCAACCAGTGAATCAGTTCGGTAAATTCAACTTTTACATTACTTGTAACTGGTGATTATTCATTGTTGTATTGTTTGAATTTTTAATATGATATATTATGACATATAATCATATGGAACGTGTAAAGTCGCAGTCAGCATATTTACTGGTATTATATTATACGATTATACAAGACCCGAGTACAAGTCAATAAACCAGAACATATAAAAAAATTGAGTTCAGTGAATTTAGCGCCACCTAAGTGTCCCGGATGTGAGCGCGATGCTGCCTAATAATTCCATACTTAGTAGAGTGCATTCAGTCAAACTGTTGAATAGTGTACGTCACCTAAAGTAGATAAGCTAGTTACTATTTTAGCTGACCTCACATAAATTTGGAACTACGAGTAAACAACTACTGAGATCAGGGGGAGAAACGATGATACAAATGAATGTCTATTCACTCATTCTCTAGTAAAACAACCTCCCGGATTAGCATGACCGTTATTTGGCGCGCTTTTACTATTTTAGGTGACATCAACTAAATAGTTATCTAAGTTAGATAAATGTATCTAACTATTCAACAGAGAGACTAAAAGCACTCTATTCAACAGTTTGACTGAATGCACTCTAACTATTCAACAGTGAGACTATAAAAAAGCGCGCCAATCCTTTCTTGCCAGGCGTTCCTCGACCAACATGAGCCTGCACATTGACAAGTCAGCGGATGTATCGCAATGCATTGTGGGTAGAGTTTGTTGTTTCATAGTTTCGTAAAAAATAAACGACAAAAAAAACTCGAACTAAAGTTCACTTTCCATTCCCTGGCTAGGTAATAACCTCTAGCGTGCTGTATCTCAGCATCGGTTAGTAGTTTTTCCAGAAAGGGCATTTTTTAGGTGTTTAAGAGTTTAAGAGGCGATTTTGTTTTGGCTCCAATGTTCGAAGATCCAGTCGAGTCGTTGGAATAATGCTGTCAACATGGACGATACCAACTGATCCTGGTTATAACACTAGAAGACCTAACACTGCTAACAGATACGAACCAACGGGAGATCAATGTCGACCTAAGCCAAGAGTAAAGCCTGAAGCCTTGTCGAATGCGATAAAAGGACAAGGTTCGCTATCTCAGCTGTTTAATCCCAACTCGAAACCATACAATCTTCTGTCAAGACCAGGTAAGSTTATTAAAGTTTTTAGTAAAGAAGCTAATATTGTAGTTTTGTGAACTCAGGACGCTTCGTCGTCAATTGATAAAGAATCATGATATGTCCTTTACGTATGGAATATAAGTTTAATGGGAGAATATTCAAAGGAAAGCTAGTAACTTGTCACGCTTGGAAGTAGTTTACAAATTCAACTCGTAGCGTAGTAACAGGAATAACATCTGAGCCTAGTTCATCTATAAAGGTCATCTAATAATGAGCTTCAAACCACAAAACCATCATTATAATAAACAATAAGTAAAGCATTTTACTTGGTTTMAAAAAAAATAATTTTAAAAGCTTTTTCCAGGTGCCTTCCCTATTTTCCTCTGAATTCCATTCTCTCAGTAATTATTAAAAGCTAATGTTATTTGGCCTGCATGGTTATAGTATATAACAGTGTGTACTGTACCCTTAATTAACACCTTTAACAAGAGTGTTACCATTGTTTAATACTTAGTATGAAGTGGGCATTTCTCACTTGTGGTTACAGAAGTGGGATTTATAACTATAATGCTTATCAAGCCTCCAGAGAACTATAATAAATATTATAACATAACTAAGATATAACGCATGCTCTGATTGGTTCACCACCATGAAAAAAATGTATGGAGCACGCTGGTGACGTCAATTTGGTGAAAATTCAGTGAAAATTGCAAGCATTCAGATAAAACTAAAAATACTACTAACTGGTCTACCTTTCTGTTTATTTAAAGTAAAATATACAGTAACTACTGATTTCCTTTCGACTCCACTGTATAGAATAGAAAACAATGATTTTTCTAAAGGTATTAAAAGCATAATTATTTCTTCATATTATAGGTTCTGCTCAGCCCAAGGACTTTACCAAAGAAAATGCATATCATATCAAACAAATGCAGAGAGCCAACCGCAAGAAACAGCAAGATGCAGCAGCAGGAGAACCAGTTAAAGCTGTATATAAACCTGATAAGTTTGATCATGTAGAGTCAAAAGTAGCTCAAGAGCTTAAGGTTAGTACTGAATAGATGCTTACTGTTTTACTGAGCAGAAATATCAAAGGATATACAGTTAGTTAGTTTTAATTCATAGATATGATGACTGCTGTTGAAAGTAGTAATTACAGAAGAGAGAGCAAGACAATTTCAGGCAAAAGGATTTGCTTGTTTCCATTTCTGCCCAAAATTGCCTTGCTCTTACACCAGCCAGTGATTTTTGAATGCAATCATCCCTTCTGGGAATTAAACATTTCAGAGGGGTTAAGGGGAGGAAAAGTGTTGCAGACCACTCTGGTATTCCTCTTACTCCAGCCAGTGGTTTTTGAATGCAATCATCCCTTCTGGGAATTAAACATTTCAGAGGGGGTAAGGGGAGGAAAAGTGTTGCAGACCACTCTGGTAAGAGCTCATGCATCAATCAAAAAGTGTTAATATGAATAGCCATTGCAGCCAATCACAGCCTATCATATATAATCCTGCATCCATGCAGAGGTCCAGAACAAGAGATCTTGCATGTTTCGCAGGCCGTCTTAGATGCAACCATGGTCAAATTTATTGGTATTGTACTTTCAGGCACCTTTGCAAGCTCCAAGACCAAGCTCTGCAACATTTTTAAGAGCACATTCAAGAAATGGTCCCCCAGTTAAAGATAGACCTTCATCTGCAGAACCTGTTATACCAAGGGAAGAAAAACTAACAATACCTAAAGCAGCTGCTTCTAAAGAGGTATAGAGATCTAGATAAAATCCCTTTATATATTATTTTACAAACTTAATAACCTCAATTTAGGAGTTCTCTCAATCCTTGCCTCTCAGTTGTAGACTTTGTTAATGTCAAATCTCACTCTCTGCTTAATGAGGGCACAAAGCAAATAGCTTTTATAATTAATTCATATTTTTAAAAAAGAAATATGAAACTTGCTTGAAGAGAAATCCTACAACTGAGGGACCATGGATTGGGAGAACTCCTGAATTAAAGTTATTAATGTGCTGTATGCAGAATGTGGGGATTGGCAGAACACCCCATTTCTCTTGTATTCTGTCCATGCCAATGTACTTTAAAACCATGCATGTGTCTGTTTTCTATTTCTTCAATGAATTCTACCGATGAAAGTAGAAAGGTAGTACCTCTGGGTTGATCTAAGTCAGGGCATGGCTAACTAACAGATCAAACCCTGAAACAACCTCTGGGCTGATCTAAGTCAGGGCATGGCTAACTCACAGATCAAACCCTGAAACAACCTCTGGGCTGATCCA